TATGTAGGAGAAGAGCGCACTCGATCTAACCACAGGCTCGATCTTGTGTCTTCCTCTATGAGCTATTAATGTATGATGTCTCTATAGGATACAAAGGGGGTACGACTGGTTAACTAGCTCCTTCTTGTTGTAGTTGTTTGTACGAGATGTACAACCGGAAGCAAGAGCGGAGGCCAGTGACCAGTATCCGGCATGGGATAGATCTGATGCGATTCTTCCCTGAAGTCTCCCGGCCACGCGCCGACCTCCTGGGTACAATGCTTGTATCGACGTCGAGAGGTGTCTTCTCGTTCAAGGGCGTACAATCGAACAAACACGGGTCACATCTACATGGATCTACTCTATTTAATGCTATATTGAACTTAGACATGTATCATCTAGTCACTGAACATTGTAATCGACCTCGGCGGGTCTTACCTCGATCACTATTCCAATGAACGATGAATCGAACGGCCACGTGCCGCTAGTGTGAGGTGCAATTTCTGTAGCGTCATTGTCGATCGGTTAATGAAATGTGATTTGACCGCGGTAGCCTCGCGTAGGTGAGTTTTTTTCGTTGGAGAAATATGATAGATTTGATCAGTTATTAAAGAAACCGGATTAAGTTAAACGAAATTTACCGTCTTTTACGCAAACCCGTTTGACGGCAGGTAAAACGCTCTTTGCAGTGGCTTCCGGAACGAACTAATAGCAAACTTCCTCAACTTAATTATTAGCAATTCTGCTAACTACTTTTGATTGTTACTTCAAGGTCGCTATAGAAGTTAGAGGTTGCTAATATTTAAAGTCGCTGGCAAGCTTCTTACAGCCTGCAAGCTTGTGCTTTTAAAGCCTATTAGAGATAGTTACCGGAACTTCATTCATGCGTTTGCATATGTCTGTTTTTTCTATGTTCCCTTTAGAGTCGCGTTCGAGGATCAAACGGCTCGCTATCGAGCTTCACCGATTAACAGCGAATTCTGCAAACTTGTTACATTGTTCCTATCAATTCCATCACTCACATGCTTGCCATTGGCTATGTAATATTGTAATGGGCATAATTCCTGCGATTGATCGAGGACGTTTAGACATCATCGAGGGGTAGTGAAGTTGGCACCCAGCGAGGTCAATAGAGCGCTCAAACGCTCTGTATAGCTCTGTATAGATTTCCTCAAACTTGATGCGATATCTCTATAGATGAATATCCATTTACTCAGGAGTGATGACTAATTGAGGTCAAAATGAGACACCAATACGATAATATCGTTTTAATCAATGTGTTATTTTTATTTGGTTATTAGTTTATACGATCCACTTGTTTTTGGCGTCTACGTTATATAATTTATTGAGGATGTAGTGGGAAGCCTAAACAATCATTATACACAAAAGAGACAGCCAAGAATTTCAGATGAACGCCCACAGCGTAAACGATTGCTTAATACCAATAAGTCGGTAATCCAATCAAGAATAAATCACGAACCCCAGTTTTCTTGTTAATTCAACTTACTCGAGTAGACAATCGGCCTTTAAAATAGACCTACACGTTCAGTCTGTTATGTCCGCCATTCTGGCTAGCATCTATGTAATAGGCCAACAAGGCTAGTCTAGGTACAAGATTAGGCCCGACCGCTATTTGCATACAGCCATTCCTGGTGAACGAACTTGTCGAATCTGCTATACGCAATTGTTCTTTTCGATAGCTCGCAATATGGATGAGCCCCCCCGCCCCAACGGAATCATTGACACATAGCTAAATATATCAGTAGCAAACGGTTTTATTAGCTTGTATTTTTAGCAACCGCCTGCAGAGTTTCTGTTGTATTTCATTCCAGTAGCCCGCCTTACGGCAGCCAGATTTAAGACGATCCACGCACTGAAGAAATTGATGAATGAATGAGCAAATCTTTACCAATTGTGGAAGGCTACTGAAACTTCTGTTAAAGTAACACGGGAGCCTCACGCCTGGTTGTCTATTTAGAAAAGGTTCGGTCTATAAGGTTCCTTCTGAATTAGGACTACTCGCTGATACCAGTGAACCTAAGCTAACCTAAAGCAAACATTCCACTGCGAAACGGGCCACGATGAATCCGATACGATCGCTACTGCGATACGAATTGCGAGTTCGTCCCTGGCAAGAGCATTCAAGGACAGCCTGCAACTGTGGGCCTTCATCATTATTATATCGCCGGTAATGCTAAGATATAACAGGTATAACTTGAGCAAAATAACGCCAAGAAAGACAGCTAACAAAACCGGTGCTTATTGCATCAACTGGGCGAAACCTTTGCTCAGAACGATAGCTGAGACTTAAGGATTAACAGAATATTTTAACTGGCGTAGCCATTGCAGACAGATAAAAACGAAGCTATAGTTTGAATCCGGCGTTGGGCTTTCCCCCCCGCTCCCCCCGACATGCGCATCTTCTGCATTTGTCCATATAACGCTACAACAGCACGCCATAGAAGACACTCAATGATGCCCGAGTGTTTCAAACATCTCCTTTCCTTTACTTATCCCTGTCTACCTTTTACTGCCTATCTGAGATCTGCAAGGCTACCGTCCTACGCATGACTTCGATTTTGGAACGTTCCAAATCGGTGTGAATTCATGTTTCTACGATCCCTGACTGATTTAGCCTTCGTGCCACCGTCTCGTTGTAATCTTGTCGCTGTTGTTTCAATCGTGTAATTGTTATTTAAATCTGATGGTCTTTTGGCCGCATGCGGTGGCGATCGTATTCTAGCAACTGCGGCGGTAGTTGATCGATTATTTCACTGGTACACAGCGCATCCTCCTTTACCTAATCCTTGTCTAGCAGATGTTAGTACTACCTTAATTTTTGAGAATATGTCTTCTGTTTTAAAGAAAAGCTGTTCGGCCACAGGCGGCCAAATCCTCCCAGCGATGTCGCTGGCTGACGTGCTCAGCGTCTCGGATACTCTTCAGGGGATCGAAAACAGCCATACTAACAGGCCGTGTAAACCCCCTCCCGTCTCCGAATCGAGCGAGTGTGTATAACTTATAAAATACTAAATCTTCATTAACATCCGTAGTCGCTAATTTCGTGTTCGTAGAGTGGATTTAATACGAAAGAAATTTAGTTGTTTTTAAACGTGACGCGTGACGTCCTTAGAGATGCTGCTTAAAAAGTGAGTGCACGTTCAATAAAACAATCACTAAAAAATCAATACGAATAAGTACGTGTACTTGGTGAAATATTCATACGTGGAAGAAATTGATGGTTGGCATTTAGCAAACGAAATCTTCACTGGATTTTCTATGAGAGAATGTAACCTTCATTTCATAAAGAATACTGAAGAATGCCTAAAAATTTTCCCATTAAGAACAAAGTATTCTGTCAACTGTTCACGTAGGGAAAAATTACCACGTAGAGATTTATGAAACCTGTAAATATCCGTTACTTTGTAGCCACTAAAAGAGCAGTAAAACGGCACCAGCCGTGTGTGCCTATCTAGCTGGACTAACACGGTCGCTTGAAGTTGGTATGGCCTATTGAATGGTAATCTGCGATCAGTATTGTCCTAGCGAACACTGCTCGGCCAAGCAGTCTCGGTGAATTTTTTCACGAGCTTCAGCGATTGTGCTGCGCACCTCTCATGTCCAGGAGCACGTGGGACGCCTTAAACGAGATCTTCGCTTGAATAAGTTTACAACAAGCGAACAATTCGTGTGATCTTCGGGGTCATCCTCGGAAGATTTTAACAACAAGGACATCAACAGTAACGAGGGTGAGAGATAGTGACGCGTCCTTTTTTTTTTTTGCAACTATGCTTAAGTAGCCTGAAACAGCACGAACGACCATCACGAAAACCTTTGATACACCTAGCAAGCATTATTCCCCAGGCCAATATGTCCCTTCGCGGTGATGAAAGCGCTTCTCGAGCAGATGACAACCAAAAGACACTAAGCAACATTTTTCCACAATTCAAGTAACAACAATAACAACAACAATCATTTGAGCGACATCATGATTAAGGCCGATAAGGACATGCATCCAGCACATGGACCATCGACGCGAAGTGTCTCCAGTAGAAAGGCTTCTAGTCAGAGTCGAAGCAAAACTAGCCACTCGCAGCGTACGTCTATTTTACTGATCGCAGACGAAGATATCACATAATACTAACGAGAAAGAGATTGAAGGCTGTGCTGAGCAGACGGGGCGAAGTGACGCATAGGTTCAGCATCCTTTCGTCTATTTAGGTGACATTTCTGTTAACAATTATTTTTTACCTTCAATACATTATCACCGAGAAGCAGTCGAACGACGGGGCTGAATCTACTACATGAATAAGTTTAAGTAAAAAAAATGTTTATCATGGAAGATTTCATTTGACAAGCAGGGCCTTCGTACACGGCCGAGTCGAGCCTGTGATTTGAGCTGCAAAAATATGTCACCTCAACCAGTCGACAGTGACTGTCGCTGATTAAACTTGAATCGAATGCCCCAAGCTATATTTGAGAATGTAGGTATTAACAAAATATGGGGGCAAAAACGCCTAACGCCTCCGTGGAATTCCTCCTTTCGTGGTCGACTTGATTGAAGCTAACCAAATATGGAAAGATCACTATAGAAAAAGGACATAACTTAAGCTACGAATTTGTTGTTGTTTCCAATAATATATCAGCATCGAGTTCCTCGCACTTCCTCGACAAAGGTAGTTGCCCACAGATCCGAGGAAGAACTTATTGTTCATGTTTTATTGTAGACTATCAAAGCTCGCACGATAGCTTGTTTCAAGCCGTTGTCATCTGCAAGGTAATAGGCTGTTACGTAGTATGTATGAATGACTTCTTGAGGCTGTCGAGGATCTATGGGGTGTTTTACTGTAGCAGAGTAGAAAATTTATTGTGAAAACAATTTTAAAAACATAGTTCAACGTAAATTAAAGACAAATCAAAGAGCTGCGGAACAGAAAAGCCGCTCGAGCTTCCACCTGGACAGCGAATAAAATGATGTGATGTACAATTAGGCAACAATAGTAGATCGGCTTGTCAATCAGATGATAGAGCAATTTTGTATACTATCTTTATTTTATATGTTTCGTTTATTGATTCTCAGTTTCTTGCAGCTCGCTTGAAAAAGCAAATATGTTAAATGAAGAGAGGTAAATTTTACACTTCTTGGTTACGGCCACTTGGCAACAAGCTACGGAATATATGGTCCGCCCGCGGCGTGGACGATCTAGTTATGGGGTATAAGTTCGTCGTCAGCAGTCATTGTCCTTCAATAGCGACGAGAAAGCTACTTCATTGAAATGGCTTGTCTACAGCGCGAATTTTAACACTAACATTGATAATCATTAATTTTTAGGTATTACCACTCATCGCCATCAACGTCGACTAGTATGTACCATATCATAGAGACGAAGTAAGCAGCTGGATGAAGTTGCGACACCTGCAAGTGATAATAATGATTACCAGCTGGTATATACCGCTAAGTTATTCGTATGATGCTCGGGAAAAACATGTTCGGAACTCCTTTGCCTAGACAGCAGATGTCGATAGAAGCAAAAGCTTCCACGAAAAATTGCCTCAAGTCGTGTTAACACATGTGGCTACCTCGCAATCTACGAAAAAAAAATTGAAAAAATGAAAAGCGACGAAAGTCGAGAAGAGTGCGTCCCTTGAGTCGATTGTTGCATGAGCAAACCGATAAAAGGATAAAATAGCGCTATTTAACACTTCTGTAACATATGGACGGAAACGGGAAATTAAAAAGAGGCTGGCGATGGACATATAATTCGCTAATTAGGTTCGATTTGTTTACGTACGTACGTTACGCACTCTGCTGGTACAGGCATAGGCCCCTACAGAACTAAAAACGTTTGCCAAATAATAGTAATAGTAATAATAATACCAAGCTAAGCAGCTTGTTCCTCGGACCTCGGACTGCTTTTGTTGTTACAGGAGTTGTAGAGTTCTGTCTAGATTTCTATACTCGGGCCGTTCGTTCTTGCTGGACAGGTAAAGGTAAATAAAATTTTTGTGCACTATGTATTTATACTGTTTGCTTGTACACGGCTTTTCTCTACCATTATCATTTGGAACATTTTAAACTGGTAACAAAAAGACAAATGGACCAATTAGCAAATCACACCTTTAAGATCCCTTTGTTGGACAACCAAGCATGCCCGTACGAATCACCGCAGGCGTCCACTGCATTCTGAAAATCGATTCACCCTCGTCAGCATGGTTGGTAAGTCGTCACTATTCACGATGAGACACAACGTTGCGGGTCGAACAATTGCATGATGACTACGGCCATGGCGAATCGGACAGGCGTGACTTGATAACTGGTGCGTATATGTTAGTCTTACTATGAGCTGCCCAGATCTCAACCCCGAGAGTTACTTCACTTTTACGCTGTGGTTGAATGTAGATGTGTCAAGTGCGCTTACATTGCCAAGCACCGATTCCACCTAGGCGAAAAGGCAAGCACAGAGGCTTCAGCTGGCTCTGGCCAACCTCTCCAACAGCCAGGTTTGACCCTAAGCTGTGCCAGGCCAAATCGCACTCCCAATTCCCTCCGTGTTTCTTCGCTTACTTTTTGTGGACTGACACCCCCCAAACAGCCTTAGGGAAAGTAACACACCGGCAGTGTGAATAGCGGCAAAATTTGAATTCTCAATCCCTTGTGTAAACATTAGCAAGGGGCGCCCTCATGCGAGAGCATTGCTAGCTCGAGTTCTACAAGGGAAAACGGATCAGCTTTGGGCTTCGCCATTGTTGTGGCAACGCAGTAGTCAAGTGTCAAAGCGACGACTCCCGACACGAATGTTGATGTTGAGATAGGTTCGTAGCGGTAGATGCTCAGCCTTAGGTACACAGACGCTCAAATGGTCGGGGTACCTCGACAGAGATTCATGGTCAGCTAGACATTTTGAGATTATGAATGAAGTGCAGTTAGATTTCTGGAGATAAGGAAGGGGATATCTGCAGTAAAGAAATCGTGCCTTGTACACGATTTTTCAATAAACCCGTAAGCAAGATTGTTCAGTAGAGACAAACACATCAAAAAGAGGTAGATCTCTACGTGTCCCTTTATTTCACAAACAATTTATCGTGTTACAGGAAATAGGCTTTTAGCTGGGGTCCTGGCAATGTAACTACGCATAGATATTTCAGAGTATGTATTTCATGCTGCATAGCAATAACGCCTGTTATTTGTTTATTGTTAAGTTCCTTGAGTCAAAACAACGAATTTTTATAATTGCATACTCATGACGTAGAGCTTTTTTGGCTGCTATAGCCATCACGCGATTTCTTATTATATAAACGCAGTTTTTAAGCGATCACTTAAATCTTAATGCAATAAACTCCTAATAGAATCTCTGTAACAATGCTTGTTGAAAACCACGGTATATTACCACATTTCCACCCATGTTTCACATTAGAGCACCGTCAGCGCGAAATAATGAACATGGCACGTAACTAATCTTCGCTCTTCAGAAATGATTTTTCAGGAAAAAAAAAGAAAGAACGCCGATGTACGTCGAAAAAAAATGTAATGTGATGGTATCGATCTGACTTCTTAGTTTGTCTATTTCGGACAAACGTAACCGAGCAGTGGATGGAAATGAAGACAACAGAGTGTTCAATGATGAAAGGCGGAAAAATTCAACTACAACCTAAACTGGTCACTGCTATCAAGTGGCACTTCCACTAAACTCATCAAACCATCACCAATCAGAATCAACTCCAACAGAACAAAAAGGACGCCTTATGTCCGTCTATCACTGATATTGTACGCTCGGTCTGCTCATTTCCCTGTTGCCCCGTTGGAATCTTAATCCGACGTTAATTCGTGCGCCTACCCGATGACGACGACAACCACAACGACAGCGACGGCCACGAAGAAGCTTGTCGCTGTCGTGCAATTCACGCGCAAAGCCAGTTCTCGTTACTATTGATATTCATCGAACATGAAAAGACGTCTCAACAAAATCGCCCGGGCCCTCTAAGCGCATTTGCGCATACCAGCGGCATCGACGATAGGAATTATTATCACCTCGTACAATCATTATTATCATTATGATTATTAGTTCCGCTAGTCCTGCCGCAGCTGATCGTGTCTGCCTTTTGCGGTGTTTGTGTTTTCGCATATTGTTATTAGAGCTGGAGGCGGCGAGCGCGATCACAAGCAATAGTCGACGACCTGACTTCGTTGAAGATGGCATCGACTTCTACCAAATGGCTGGACGAATCCACTGCAACTAGCAATAGATAGGACAGGAATGGGTTGACAACGCCAGACAATATCCCGACCGCTACCCAACCGGCCAAACGGGATCATGGAGTTGCGAGTACGTCAGTGTACGTTGGCGATAAGCGGTAAAATGAAAAAAAAAAAGGGGCGAAAAATGTCTGTTCTCTATTTTTGGTATAGAAGACAAATAGTGCGACAGTCACTGCTAAACGTGATCCCGCCCAAGCTAAAACAACGGTGACAACAGAATGCGGCCTGTAGAGCGAATGTGGACGCTAAATGCGGCGCCGTCGGAAGGGTAAGTCTGCGGGGCTGCCGTACGGCCTGTTATCGAAGCGTTGAAGCTACTCGTGCTGGCATAGCACAGCCCAACACGGAGAAAAAAACACCCGAGCAGGACGAACCGGCTGCCGTTGAAGACCATCGGCGGACGATGGTCACTAAGCCGCTAGTGCGGTTCCGACTTTTGGCTTTGTCTGCTCAAAGGGTCCTTTGGGGTACGGTAAATTGAAGGAGCGACGCTAGGTTAAAATCAGAGTAGAGAAAAAGCTGTTGACGAACAGACATAGCAGGCACGCGCGAAGAAACAATAACAAAAACAACGACAGCCGCTATCTTCACTGCGACAGGGGAACAATCAATATTTTATGAAACAACAAGAAAACCTATTGCCACTACCAACAACGGCGACAACAATAACAGAATTAGTGTTAATAATTCTTGGAGAACAGACAAGATGGGTAAGAAGGTGAAACCCCGAAGGGAGCTCAGGGAACAACGGGTGACTACAGTTACAACAAGTTTGTTGCGCCTATAATCCCGAAGGCTATCAACATATCAAAACGACTTACGATAGGTGGTCTAATAGGAGCAGCAGCAAAAAACGGTCAAAAAAAAAAGCAGAAGTATCCATTTGATAACACTTGCGTAACTCATCTTATAAAGAAGTCGTTCAGAGCACTTTTGCAAACAACAAAAAAGGCAGATCTGAATCAACGGAGACGTACTCGTATTTAGTCTTTGTCTGGCTGAACTCATCTGGGCGACAGACCCAAACTGGAATCAAATCAATTGCTTAGAAGTAATGTGTTAAAGTTACCGAAAAAACTAAGCCAACATATTTGAATCAAAGGAAAAAACCTAATTTGGTCATAACAATTATAATCGTATAAGTTTATGTGAGCTGAAAAGTAGAAAGAGACACATTTTGCAAACATAAGGGTGGTTCGTGTGCTTCAATTCGGGTTCGCTGGAGAAATCGTCTTTTGTTTAGCTTCAACTTGAAACATTGGCCTGCGCAACACCCAATAATTATTAGCTGGCCGTTGTCATCCAGCTGACAATGGCTACAGATTCTTGTTGTAATCCAGCCCTATAGATAACCACAGGGAACGTTCAAAAACCTTGCATAGACAAAAATTTAGGTCGCGACAATGCTCCCGTTTGAAACAGCGTCCAAGGAAAAAGGCTGGTAGCGTACGAAGGGGAAGCTGTCCTACCTAAGCTTACATAAAACAATTATCAAACAAAGTGCTCTTACCATTATTGCATTTGGTCGGGGAGAAGAACGAAGTGAAACAGCTCGCAAACAAAATAGACCTATACTTGGACGCCAACTAGCGACATCGATGCGACCTGTATAGAAACTGGACTTCAACACACGTAATAATCCTTTGAAACGGTAATCACTATTGATTGCTCGAATTAGCATCGGAACCGCACTCGATACAACCGATATCGGTACCGGTTGTTCTTACGCGTGTTTCAGGAAAACCTGAGGCCAATCCATCGAATTCGTATTTTGTTTTGTTGATGTTTAGTGGACCAAAGATTTGACAGTTGTCGTTCTTAGCCAACACTATTTTTATCAATGTTTATTTACGTTTGAATATATCGTTGTGTTCAGATAAAATTTTAAACGAAAACATCGCATATTTATCACGAATGCCTGAGAATTTCGAAATTATGCCCTACCTCGTATATATACAGGGAAGGTCCAGCGTCTAAATTGGAACAAGCTTTGGTACGCTTTCTGTCTCAGTGGTATTTTTGCTGCTAGGAGAAAGCCAGTTATTTTTAGAACAAAGTAGCAAGTTTATCGTGTGTAAAAAGAGGGCTTAATTTTAGTGAAGATTCAATGTCTTCACATTGAACGAGCGTCCAACAAGGCTAAAAACTAGGCTTTTTTTTTTTTTCCAACAGCTTATGTTATTGCCAGTTTGCAAACGGTCTCTAAGTCCGAAAAAAATTTCTTTGAGGAAAACCAGAAGATCATCAATACAGCCTAAATGTGTAGGGCTATGATCATCAAAATTGCTTAGAAAATCATTTTTGATGCACCTGGACTTTTTTTTTGTGCCGTTAAGAGCAACGGCCGTTTCGGTGAGGAACATATCAGCTATGCAACGGGTCATCCAGATGAGTTACGACGATTTTGCCTTTTCGAAACTTGTTGCTCCATTTTACGTTTGTTGAACTCGTTGTCCGTTCTGAGCCCTCTGGTCTGTTCTTACCGCAAAATTCAATTCGGCCAAAGCAACACGAACTCGTTAGAGTTTATGCCTATTACGATCGCCTGACGCATCGTAAGCACTACGAAGTTATTGGCGATTATCGCGAACGACACTTGTTGCATATTTAGGAAGCTTTGTTGAAATATCTATTTGTTTCTTCAACACAGCCTTAACAATAAAGCGTAAAAACGAAGTTCCAATCACTAGATGATCAGTCTTTTTTGCTTGATTGTTAAAGAACTATAATGACTTTTCGAAATAATGTTCTACATGTTTGGAGAGGAAGAGATCATTTTACGAGATGTTGCTACCTGACATTCCGAATAACAGGAACCGCCCGAAAATTAGGCACGTTAAGCCGAGTGTTAGAATTTACGCGAGGAAAGCGATCAGTCAATTTTGTGTCTCAAACTAAATGAACATGGTTTATTGTCTCGCATCAGTGAGATAGCAGTATAGACCCCGCGGACACACCATCGACTTAACACCAAAATAGGCCCACGTAGCACTAGAACTTTCCATGCACCTTACATATCCGCAGAGAAACAAGTGTGTCGATGTCGTTACAACGGTCACTACTTTTTTACGATTAGCGCTCATTTTCATCCTGTTGCCCTCATCGCAAACGACCTGAAGCAATCTTCGGTCATATGTGCGTGTGTGCACCCGGACGACAGAGATGTACATACAATAGTATATAGAAAAAAGAAATAAAGACACCAATATGGTTATGGTATCGTCTGCCTAAAATACTACAGCCGCACATTGAAGTTTTATTTTACACTCATATTTACAATGTCAGCTAGCCAACTGAGACTTAAGTACGGATTTCAAGTTCGCTAGGGTAAAAATCATACCACTTTTAGCATATGACGGCGGCAAATAGGTTCGATTTCGGAAGCGAGCCTGTAATAACTAATGCAAACGAGACGATAGAGAAAACTCTAACTGAGCAGAAGACCGTAGAAGACTTTTTTTTTGTGATAATTAATCCCGTGAGCGGACGGCCTGTCGTCAGGAGAGATAAAGAACAAACGATTGTTTACCGCCGAGCTTCGCTGGACAGAAACTGTTGCTTGCTAATAGAACGATATAGACACCGTACTGAATACTAGGGTATTTTAATTGTGGATATGTTTTTCATGGGTCACGAAGGTTTTGCCAGGAAAGGTACGGTTTCCTCGCATTGCCTCAACCACTAGAAACTCTGAATGAGATAACCTTATTCTAACAATACTAATTGAAGATTTATTTATTTACAGCATATAGAACGTTTCACTTTATTCTTGATGCTTCTTCTAAGTGTTTTCTGAGTAGCTGGTTGTTACTCACGTATTTTATCTAGTAATTGTTTTAGCAAAAAAAAAAAAAATATCCAAAATTGCAAATACGATGAGTGTACATTACGCGCTCTAAGCGAACCCAAAAAAAATCGCTTCGAGTCCAAATTACAACTGAATGATAAACGAAATTTACTCTTGTTTACATAGATACTTATGACGACGCTAAAACGTCTTAATAATTATAGTTATTTTACACTTTGCCCACTGCCAAAGCAAATAGACATTTAAAGCCAATATTTTTTGTACGAGCATCTTGTATTTGCCATTGTTGTAATTTTCAACTGTAATGTAATCTATGGCGACCATATCGATAGAAATCACGGGGTTATTTGTCGATACGTTGTCTTTTTCATTTTCGATCGTACTATGTGATACAAGGCAGACCGTACTATATGACCAAACAGAGCTGAACAACAATGCTATTGTCTACGCCATCTGGTGACATGTACAAAAAACCAAATAACTGACATACCGCTGACACATTCATCACGGAAGTTAACACGAACTGTACTAGTGGAGTTGGGCCACAGCCGACCCAGTGTGGCTCGCCCGAGTTTGCGGGCTCTCCGTGGCCCGCTGCTGTGCCTCTTGCGGAGTGAGGGGTGGCGAAAGCATGTAAATGTGTGCGGATTCGACAACATTTGTCGAATAGTTCCCGTAGCCACTGGCGTGGCAACCCATCGGCATGGCGTAGCCGGAATACGCTGATGGCTGACAGCCAGCCGCGGACGGGTGTGTATAGTACTGACAACTCGAATAATCGACAGAAGCGCCATTAGCAGACGGATTTAAAGTGCTGGTTCCGCCCGCCGCTCCGACACCGCTGTTGCCGTTTGCCGAACTCCTCGTCGGGAAGTTGTAATAGTCCATGGCGGAGTGCGGGCTCCAGATCATCGCGGGGTGGTGGTGGTACATGTTGGACGTTGGCGATTGTGACGAGAAGCTGTGAGTTGCAGCAGATGCCGCTGATACAGCCACGTGTGGCGAAACCGACGGCGAGTCAGATTTGGTTGATAAGGCGGACATCGCACTGGTCGCGGTGCTAGTGACGTTTAGTGATGACGGAGATGATGTCAGTGCGCTCACCCCGCTTTCTTCCTTGATATGTTTTTCTTTTTTAATCATTGGACCCGCGGTGCTGTTTTTAGCGGTAATAGAGGATGGCTGCGGTGTGGATGTAGTGGATTTAGCACCCATTGACGCTTGCTGATGCTGTCGGACCTTTGCGCGCCTGTTCTTGAACCATACCTGAACACGGCTTTCGGGTAAGGCAATCTTTAAGGCGACCTCCTCCCGCATGAAAACGTCGGGGTAACGGGTCTTTGTGAAGAGTGACTCCAGCACGTCGAGCTGATTTCGCGTAAACGTTGTACGCTCCCGACGCTGTTTCCGCATCATCATTGATGGGCCTGCAGAAGATCAATTCGGTAGATCGTTATTCGAAAGTACTTCAAAACTCATTATTTCACTGCTAGTTCCCTCTGCTAGTTGTATCACGCCTATTTGCGTCATAACAAAAAAAAAACAGTAAATTTTTTCTATTCTTAGCGAACAGTAATAATAATAAAGCCGCAAACAGCTCGTCTTTAGCCCATAACAAAAGTAATAGTGCTGATCATTTGATCGTAGCCGCTGATCAGCCGCCGCATTCAGTAGAATCTCAAATGAAGTCCAACAATTGCGTCGCGTGATATTTGCATAGATCATCACCTATCGGTATCTGGTGCCTGCTGGGGTCTGTCTAATAGTACCGACGTGGCCGTGCTTCTTTTGTCATTGGCATAGTTTTGTCGCGCAGGGTTGCCATTCCATCTCACGGTGAGCTTGATCCTCTACCCGTCTGTGATGAGCCCCGACAGCGGCTCCACGAGTATTACGCGCTATAGACTATCATATGATTTGTGCGACGATGGGACGCAATTTGCAAATCGCCTAGCGACTACGATGCCGACGAAATCTGCAGACACAATACTCTCATGCATATTTGCGTCGAGTAAGCCTAAAGGTTATCAGATTTCTCGGCCAATGACGATTAGCCTGTTATGACGCCCTATTGAGTCACTCGTGCCGTTGCCTTCGAGCGAAACTGAACGCTATCATTTCCATCACGACAACAGTATCGTTCGCAAACGGTTGCTGCGATCGCAGCTTGCGGCGAGGCCACGGCGTCTTGCTCCCTTTAAGACAGCGGTCCCGACGGAATCAGCTTGCCGAGCCCTAAGAAAGGACCGCGAGAAGGCGGGTAATTCTTTAAGAACGAACTCAGCTTCACACATCCTTTACGCTGTCGCCTAGGCGCAGTAGCCACTTTGTTGCATGCAACAGGACCCACCTACCTAGCTCAACGGACACTCCCCACTTGCTCGACTCTACGATATCGCGATGTGCGATTGCTTTCTATGTGATCCAAAGTGCTACTACGCTGGTTACAGCTTCAGCGGTGGGTACTTTATGCGGCTCTCGTTATTGGTTCGTCTTGTGTATATTGTTGTAGAAGTACTAGTAGCGGCAGTAGCTTTGCTATTCTTCTCATCGTTCGCTTGCTTTTTTCTGCACTGTACGCTTCGTGCGTTGATAGCCTATCGTTGAAGAGCATAAGGTGCGATGCCGCACCAGAAAGGCACCTAATGGTAATAACAGCTCCGACAGTCGCATGGCTGTGTTGTGTGCCAATTGCTGATACTCGGCAGGATAGCCGATAGTATTCTCTATCGCCGTATTGTGTACTTCCATAGTCCCGCTCACCTCGATTCGGCCTACGGTAGCTCAAGGGGCTGAAGAAAAGGCCGCAACAAGAACTAGCTCGATGAGCACCACTTCTGCAGATCATTACTCGACTGGTAGCCGATATTGCGTTTGTATGCCTATTCGGTCACGCCCGTCACGCCAATGAAACAACCGTAGACAACACTGAGTACAGGGCAAAGCAATGGAAGCCGAAAGCGGTAGACACCCCCTCGTCCGGGGCGCCTACACTAATGTACAAATGATAATACTATGTTGTGTGTTCTCTGAATACTGCAATACGTTTAATCCGACACGATGGCTAGATTAAGAGTCGACTGAGTTGAAACTGTGCATCAGAAGCAGCACGCAATAGAAACAGCAGTGACGAACAAGCGTTTGAGTGAATGAGACTTGGCCGCCTAGCGGCTCCACGGCGGCGATTGGCATCCCGTTCGATGTTTTACTGCATACCCAATGCAGTGATACTTGGCCAGTTCGATCATATATTAAATGCCGGATAGAGCTGCAAGTGTTACTTGGTCGTGGTGTCGATATCACCCAGCAGCCGCCAAAGAATCTCTGATAATGTGAGTTGTATTATCTGATATTGTGTTTTAGGATCGGGGCTCGCGGCTGATCAACTGCTACAACAAGCAGGTGACAACAAGAAAAGATTCGGTGCCCTTTGCCGGGCACATACGAGCGCTAAACGACGAATTGTAAGAACTTGAATTGAGACCGATGACAACACCTTGAGGTTCACTCCTTCCGCCTTCGTGAAGTGCTCATTTCAAATGCATTGGCATTTATCATTTCCATCGCTCGTGCAGCCGCTGCTTGAGGCTTCAGAGTAAGTACTATGGTGGCATATGCATATTTACTTAAAGGGCCGAAATACAAAACGAACCAGCTTGAAAAATGAAAATGGTTTGTGTGAAGTAGTCATGGCCATTAATGCTTATAAGAAATGCACAGTAACATATCAACGTCTAGATTGCAAGATACCGAAGGCAGGAGCTCTGGATAGCGACAGAGAAAATAAAAGATGGATAGAACAGACGGAGATTAAACGCGTCGGCTTGATTTAGGGTGCCACTTGAATTAAGCCAAGAGATATTATAGCTCACAGTTCTCTCCGTGTCATTGAGAAATACCCGATTTGTATTTCAAGGGCCTTAACGAAAAAGTTCATGAGGAATCAATTCATTTTAATGTTGCTTACCATTGAGACCGGCTCCAGTGCTGTACCACGCCTCAAGGGCAAACGGTGAGTTCCATGCCTTGACGCCCAATGGGCTTGAGCTTTGCTGCTGGGCAAGAGTTGGCGACGGTGAAAGCGATGAACTTCCGGACACCGACAGTGGCCTTGAGCCCAACTGGTTTCCACCTTTACAATAAACATCAGGTAAAAAGAATATCCTAGTTTACCTACATATATACACGATATCTCATTTAGCCCACTTTTATTTTATAGCTAACGCAATTCGCCACACTGTGAGAGCTTCCTGTGAACTTAAGTGACGACGTACCATCAAAGAGGTTGTAATTTGTTGTACTGTTCCTTGGCGAAATCAGCTATTTAGACCAAATATGTCTCGCCAGCGCAATTATATTCGCGTGTGCTAGGTACAATAAGAAGTAGTGTCACCGAACGATAGAAATCTTACTATGCTTTTCCAAAATTTCTTTATTCTAGCAGTTGGCCACCGACCGCCGATAAGGACAAAGGACGTTAGTTTTTACTATACTACCGCGGTGGTCAAACTCGAAGTCGAACGTTAGCGTTAGGCCTAGGTTTTCTTCGCTAAGCGAACAGCCTTTCAAAGATCAATGACGACGACTGGCAAAACGTTAGTATTATCGAAGCTTGAACCCAAGCCAATCATTACTACGCGATCAAATGAATCGTGTTATATAAGGTCGTCTATGGATTGAATGAATGTAACCCAAACAAGGAATTATTTTCGATCGAAATCTGAGCTTGAGTCTGAGCTATTCAGAATTGTTGACTTATAAACTAACCACTGTCGAAGGGCGTCGGATTAATCGACCAAATTGGAAGCATCTTGTAGCATTGAATAGTATGTGCGGAACTTGTTAGTTGACAAACATGAAGTTATGAAATCTTTCAATAATAGCTAGGAAACTCTCATACGAGGGTCTTTATTGACAGATTCGCACGATGAGATAGAATACATACAGGTAACGGCTGCCCGATCTGCTAAGGTGGATCCCGTACTATAACACGGCCTCAAAACGGGTCCACTAAACCGAGTTGAGGTTTCGTTATCCATCCCTTTGGGCTGTTAGAAGCGTTTGCAAGGAGAGAAACCCAATCTTGCTGGGCCCAACCTATACAGAGGCACCCACAGTCCGCAATGCTGATTAAAACCAGATATCAGTTAGCTCTCTCAACGGCCCTTAGAAAACGAGATCCGGGTCCGCCTCTAATCCGGCTACAAATGGATTAGCTGCATAGTCTAGCCAACACTCGACCTAGGGGGCGGTAAGGAGACCAGAGCTAGGAAGGCTCAGAGGGAGGAAAACTTCGATACCGCAACGAAGCGCTTTTAGGCCGAGGTCACCTCGGCCCTCCCACAGGGACTCAGCGAGGAAACCAGTGTTGAAGCAACAGCAGTAGCAGGGGTTGCTTGAATAAAAACGAAGCGCAACGCCAGCCAGCCAACACATGGGAAGACATTGACTCCAATCCAATGGTCAGAATGAATTAGGTTACTTGTCTAGCGGATTCACAGTCGATGTACACAACTTCGGGAGGGTCGTATCTTTTCCCAATGAATTTACCCTACACCCATATATATGAGATGGGAAATGATGAGGATGGTGAGACTAGAATTTTCCATTAGCAACTTAGGGACATACAAATTCAAGTCTCGTAGGTGCTCAGTGGCGTGCATGACACCCAACGGTTGAATGAAATAACGGTTTCTTAGTGTGTTTGAGAGGACAACGACTATCGCATAGGAATATTGCAATCAAGCATATTATGATTAGGCTACCGTAGTGATAGATTTACTCTATAGAATTATATATGACGCCGATGATCTTTCTGTTTCTTCGACATAAAGAGAGAGAGAAAAAGGCGAACACAAGTTTATTTATGTACCATGCATCTACTATATTTACCATATCCGGTGGCAGCGTTCTGTGTCGCAGCGTAGAAACCTGTGGCCGACGGTCCTGAATAGCTCGTCGAACCAATCGATGCGGGGTATGAAGTCGCAAAACTGTGCGTATGATGATGGTTCGGACTAGGACCACCCGAAGCACCGGACATCGGTACCCCACCGAAGCTGTTCAAGCCGGCAAGGCCGGACGCCTCAGCAAAGGCTGTTGCAGATGGCGGAGACGATGGCGGGGACATCGGCGATGACGAAGAGTTATACGAGTACAAGGACATGTTGGTTTCGGCCTGTGCAGAAAGAAGTGGTCCCTGTTGGACAGGCGGGGGTTTTGTCAGTGGATGCTAGAGTTTAATCGATGAACTGGAATAGGCAAAAAATGGTAATGAGAGAAAGAGAGAGAGAACGTAAGTCGAAACAGAATGCAGAATATCAGCCCGTTATAAGCGTTTAGAAAACAGCATCGCAGTAAACAGGAACTGTTTGACCTATGCAAATGGAAATCGTTTAGGCCTTTTCTTGCTGGTTACCAAACCAGTTCGCTGCAGTGTTTTGATTGTCAGTCGTATAGTATACGTATTCGAAACAGAGGACAAACATTTGGAAGCATCACCGGCTTTAGAACCGTTTAGGTACTAGTCTGTCGAAGTTCCCGTCTTGGGACACGGTACAAGAGCTCATTAGTGTACACTTGTATATTGACCGAATACGTTGAAAAGCGCTTCATTGCCCTTCGTTAGATCCCCATGTGTTCGTTTCGACAACAACGGCTCTCAAATACGCTTTTGTATCACTCAGAACTTCTCTCGTCAATGATCGATTGCATTGTACCGTTAACGCTATGTGTTAACTAGTCAGTTACGCTATTGTTATTGTGATAGCCATGATTATTATGTAACGCTTACCCCCGAGAATAGTTCATTGTGACGCCATTGTGCTCTTGATTTTATAGAGAAAATTCAGGTTAATGCACATCGCGTACATGCACAAAGGGGCATTAACATAAATATAAGCTTATAAATTCAGCAGATATTTCGATAAAATTAT